CTCAGGCGGGCTGCTATAGCTGGTCACCATCCTGCGGCGTGCATGCACAGGGCTGTTAGTCTGTCTTCCCTGTGTGAGGCCAGGCCTGTCTTCCCCGGGTATCTGGAAAGGCTCAGAGGAGGGGAGGACTTCCCGGAGGAAGGGACTGCCAGGGTGAGAGGCCTGGGTGGTGGCCCAGGATGGCTTGGAGGGAATGGGCTGGCCATCTTCCACAACAGAGGCTCCTTAGGCCTAGGGCCTAGGGCCCCACGGGGGTCTGTGATAATGCTTTCATCAGTCTGCGGTAAAACTGTTCAACATGATCTAGGATAATGACACGTTATCACTATAAAAAAATCACACCTTGCATTTATAATGTGTTATATACATATAATTTACAGGAGGTGAATGAATACAGCTAACCATAGTCAATTAAAAGGACTCTTATTCCACCTTGCCATTTCTCTCTTCATGTTTCAATGCCTTATTACTTGTCAGACGAAAGTGTCCAATAATAAGCTGTCACACTATGTCGGCTCTGGAGATCCCAAACTTCAAGCTGGGTGCTGGTGGCTCATGTCTGTAATCCTACTCAGGAGGCTGAGATGTGAGAATCATGGTTCCAAGCCAGCCCAAGCAGACAAATCCAGGGCACTTGTCCCTCGTTAATCAGCAACAAGATTGTGCTGAGAATTGATGGGGCCCCACTCCCAAGTCCTTTCTGGTTTTCTTTTAGCTCAGGGAGCCCCTGTAGCTTGAGCTCAAGCAAGCCAGGGCCTGCCCACTGGACACAACAGGAGGCCACCTGCTTCCTCTTCCTGCTGACCTGCAGGGTATCTTTCCTGTCCCAGGAAGTTGTTAATTTCCCTCCTCCAGCAAAAATCCTGAACAGCAACCGCAGGTCATAAGCCCTTTCCCTCTTGGTTCTTCAAGGCCAAACCTTGCATGTCTAATTGGAAATCTTCACTTTCCCCTGATGCAAATCTGAGTGCTCTCAGAGCATTAGCTCTCTCTTAACACTAATGGACTGTGATCCCACCTCTGGCTTTTTCCTACCAGCCTTAGGAGCAGGGCCTAGCTTGGGTGAAGCCAAGTGAAAGCCCTGGATAGAATGGTCCCAGCCAGCAGCTAAGATCAAGCATTTCTGGTTTTACAGTGTTAGAAATGCACAACCCTCCAGTGTCAGGAATGAAGAGACACTCAAGATATATAGGAGGACTGGGAAGGTGGCTTAGTGTAGAGTGCTTGCCTAGAATGCATGAAGCCCTGGGTTCGATTCCTCAGTACTACATACACTGAAAAAGCTGGAAGTGGTGCTGTGGCTCAAGTGGCAGAGTGCTAGCTTTGAGCAAAAGAAGCTCAGGGACAGTGCCCAGGCCCTGAGTTCAAGCCCCAGGACACCAGAGAGAGAGAGAGAGAGAGACAGACAGACAGACAGACAGACAGAGAGACAGAGAGACAAAGAGAGGGAGGTGGGAGGCAGGGAGGGAAGGAGGGAGAGACTGTCAAGGCAATTTTCCTTTATGCATGAAGGGCAAGTGTCTCGAACTAGTGATCCTCCTGCCTCTGTTCTCAAGTAATAGGGGTTACAAGCTTGGAATGATTACTAAAAGGCACTACTGAGGTCTTAAGCATTCAACTTTTATTTGTGTGCAGGAAGCATCGGCGAGGCTCTATGAACTCAGAAAAAATAATCAGGACACATGGTCCTTGCCCTAAAGAGCTTCCATCTGGGAAAATCCAACTGAAATGGCTCAAGAAGAAAGGCTATCTTATTATCTACACTCAGCAAATGTCCAGCAAATAATATGAAACAGAGTACTCTGTAACGAACATTATCCCTGGAATGATAATGTGTATATGTGTGCACATGTGTGTGTGCATGTGTGTGTGTGTCAGTGCTGAGACTTGAACTCAAGGCCTTGAGATGCACCTTGGCCTTATGTAAGGCTAGCAGTCTACCACCTGAGCCACAGCTCCATTTTTAGGTTTTTTTGTTTTGTTATTGTTTTTTGTTTGTTTGTAGTTCATGGAGATAAGTCTCATAGACTTTCATGCTTGGGCTGGCTTTGAACCTCAAATCCCAGATCTGAACTTTGTGAGTAGCTAGGATTAGAGCTGTGAGCCACCAAATCCCAGCTGGGAATGATAAATCCTAAAGGAGTAACAGGGGCACAGCCCGTGCGGACCTGGTAAGGAACCCAGCTTGGACATCCCACAAGGACTGGACTCTGTGAAGAGACTGGCCTATAAATAGATGACAGCCAGTTTACAGTACAGGCTAGACTCCAGCAGCCCAGATGGCAGGCACGGAGAACAAGAGCACACATTAATATTGCAGGGTATAAACAGTGAAGCGAATGTGTCCACTTATGAGTAGACATCGAGGTTTCTACCTCAACGGCACCAACTGGGTCTGTCCAGATAGGCAGATGGGTGTGGCAGATAGAGTCAGCTTTGTGTTACACAAAGAGATTAAAATCCTAGCTCTTCCATCAGCTCTGAAGCTGGGTGGGTTATGTGAAGCCTGTAGTCCTGGCGCCTCGCTTGTGCAATGACATCAGTTTTCAGCTCAGAGCTATATATGTATGGCCCTTTGCAGAAGCAGGAATCCAGCCAGTGGTATCTCGTCCTGCTCTTTGGGTATCTATCTCCTGAGGCACACCTTGCCCAACATAATGGGAAGATTCTCCCTGACAGGGCTGCACCTCGTGGTGATGGTCCTTCAGATTCCCAGCACAATGTCTGACTCATGTCATGGGACTTTCTCGGTTAATGCTGAAATAATCAGAATCATGCAACCCACACGCTTCGATAATGAGGAGAGCTTGCTGATTATAGACATTGTGGCCCGCTCTACACTTCCCTAGGACTTTGTGGGCTATCTTATCTGATTCTCACAATAATTCTTTGACAGTAAACCTGAGCAAATGGTAAAGACGGTGTTTACTGTAGGTAAATAGGAGCCCAGACCTCAGCGGGGCTGGATTTGAGGATCATGCTGAACCAGCGGCAGGGAGGAAAGCTCTGCCTCACATTCCCCCAGGGAAATTCTGTGGACCAATAGGCATTTCAGCAGCTGTCTCAGTACCGTAAAGGGAGAAAGCCTGCACCCGCAAGGGCTTCAGGGTCTCTGACCATTCCTAATGGGGTGGAGAGCCGGTTGGAGAAGGGATTGCTGTGGGGGGCACACAGCTGGAGGACATGAATTCTCTGCACCCTCGGGCTGGAAGCTTGTGAGGGTAGTTGAAGAAAACTCCTTACAGAAGCAGGGACGGGTGGCTCACATGGGGAATCCTGGCTACTCAGGAGGCTGAGATAGGAGGATCTGGGTTCTAAACCAGCTGGGGTAGGAACATTGGTGAGACTCTTATCTCTAATTAACCAGCAAAAACAACCCCCCAGAAAGCCAGAAGAGGAGCTGTGGCCCAGGTGGTAGAGTACCAGTCTTGAGTGGGAAAAAACTAAAGAACCATGCCCGGGCCCTGAATTCAGGCCCTGGTATGGGCACAAAGCTAATTCACTAACCAAACCTTCCTGGCGTGGTTCTCGGCCTGTGGAAGGTGGGGTGCTAGAGTCCAGATGACCTGAACTGGAAGAACGGGGAAGCAGTCAGCCCAGATGGCATGGAGCGGAGCCAGAGAGGGTATCTGGGAGGGAAGACCAGGAAGGGAGAGCTGGGGTTCTGAATCTGACAGCAGACTGCATTAGTCACTCTAACAAGGGAGAGAAATGTAGCAACACAGAGGAGGCCACTTAAGGTAGTGGGGACAAGCCAGGCTGCAAGGGGCACGGGCAGGGGCACCGTGGTACAGAGGTGGTATTGAGCGCGTTGCACGCCCTGGATTCCATCCCCAGCTCCATGACTGAATGACCATCACCGGGAGTGTCTGGCTGGAGCATCTCCATCACCTCTGGCTCCTGGCTGCGTGGCCTTGGCAGGATGATTTAACGTCTCTGGATGTGAAAAGCCGTGGGGTGGTCTGTGTCCCGGGGTATACCTGGGGAACTCTGTGTCCCTGGCAACTCCAGAGAGAAAGAACGGGTGTCAAGGGTGGATGACAACGCCACACACATCCAGGCTAGTGAGGCTCAAGAGGTGGAGCTTCTGATGAATGTGTAAGGCCCTGAGTTCAAACCCTAGTGATGCCAAAAAGGAAAAGGAAAGGTCAAGACCGCACGGGGGGCGGGGGTGGGGGGTGGGGGAGGCGCGTTTGCTTTGTCTTTGTGTTTTCTGCAGGCGTAGGGCTCCTTTCCAGAATATTCGCAGCTCAGACCGTCCGCCAGATCCCTTCCCAGACCCCTGAGCCGGCAAGCAGGGGTTTCCCAGACCTCGTGGGCCTGGGGAGCTCACGTCTGCCCCAGCCGGGTTGGCAAACCTGTCCGCAGGCCCGGCTCCTTCTCCCCTCGCGGTGCCCACGGCTGCCCCCAGCCTCTAGCAGACCTGCGGCCTCGTTGTCTACCTCACCCAATGGCTGATCTCTCCAGGCTCTCTCCAAGATTCCCCATCCCCGGCCTCCTCCCGGACCTAGAGCCAGCTCAGGCTCCCAGGGTTGTTAGTCTAGGCTCAGACCGGGGCCTCCCAAGTTCCTGGCCTCCAGCCCCGGGGTCGGGGTGTGGGGGGGGCCCAGTTCCTTCTGCCCGGGCGGGCACTCGGTCCACAGAGCCGCACGCGCCCCGGCCAGGCTGGTGAGACCTCCACGTCCAGGGGGTCCAGGGCGAGGCCCCCAGGGGGCCGGGTGAGCGGTGGGCGGGTGAAGGAGCAGCTCCTGCCCGGTGCCCTCGAAGCCACGCTCCGACCCCGGCGGGGGCGACGCCGCGCGCGGACCCCTCGCGCTCCCGCCCACCCCGGGCCGCAGCGCCGCGCGGGGGTGGACGGGGCGGGGCGCCGCCCTCCCCTCCCCCGGGGTGGGACCACCGCGGGCCGCCCCGCGCGTCGGGTTACACCCCGCCTCCCTCCCCCGCGCGGGGTCGGCCCGGACCTCAGCCAGGGACCTCGGTCGGGACCTCAGCCGGGGACGATGCGGGCGGCGGGCAGCCGGCGCGGGGCGGCGTGGACGCGGGCGCTGCGGGCGCTGCTGCTGCCGCTGCTGCTGGCGGGGCCGGGGCGCGGGCTGGGCCTCCGTGGGCTCTTCCCCTTCGGGCCCGGCCACGGGGACCGGGAGCTGGCGGCGGGGGACGATGTGGTCTCCCCGGCCCTGGATCTGCGGGGCCCCGGGCTCCGCTTTTACGACGACTCGGACGTCGCCTCGGTCTACGTGAGTCTGGCCGCGGTGGGGCGCGGGGAGGCCGGGCGGGGAGGATGCGGGGCGCCGGGGACCGGGCTGGGGTGGACGCGGGGCGCCGGGGGTTCGAGGCGCCGGGCGGGGAGGGCGCGGGGAAGCCGGGGACCGGGATGGGGCGGACGCGGGGCGCGAGGGCCTCCGCGCTGCCTTGCCGTCGGTGCCCGGGAGTGGGGCCCGCGCGCGGGGTCTGCGCCGCTCCGTGCGCCCCGCTGGGATCCCGGGGCTCCGTGCGGCCCCTCCCCGGCGGCCCGCGCTTCTTGGTCCGGCAGCTCCCTTCGGGGACCCGGGTGCCTCGCTCCGGGGGCGCGGAGCCCCGGCGGGACAAGGACGGTCAAGGACGGTCCAGCCCGGCCCGCGCGCGGCGTGGGGCCCGGGTCCGCGCGGGCAGCGGCTCTGCCCTCGCTGGCGCAGCTCCGAGTCCCGAGGTCACGGCCGAGGGCGCCGGGCGCCCCGGGCCCAGCTTCCCGCGGCCAGGCGAGTGTCACCCCGGGGGGGGGGGGCCGGAGGAGGAGCGGCTGGGCCGGCCCGGGCCGGGTCCCGCGGGGCCGCCGTCCGCCCTCCCTCCCTCTCCAGCCCGCACCATGTGGATCTAATAGAGAGCGGCGCATTCCAGAAGTGGGGGCCGCGGGGGGGCGTCCCGCTCCGGCCCGCAGCCTGGGTCCCCGCCGCGTGGAGCCCGCCCGGGCGGGCGCAGCGCCCCTCTCCCGGCGGCAGGAGCCGGCGAGGTGTCTGCGGGACCCCCGGGCACGGGCCTGGGTCTGCCGGGTACCCGGCAGGGGGGACCCTGGCGTTTCGGGAAACCCACCGCGGAGAGCCCGGATCGCAGTCTTGGGAGTGCAGCCTCTCCAAGCCAGTCGTTCTCAGGCTGTGACGGGCGGCCGGGCGGTGACCCGCGAGGCCCAGGCCTCCCCACACCGAGATGTGGCTGTGCCTGTCACCCTCACTCTGTCCCACGGATATAGTGGAGCAGCTGCAGGACACACGCGTGACACACACACCACACATGCGTGACACGTACGTGTGTCTGTCACACAAGGATCTCAGAACCCAGCGGCCACGCATTAAGCCAGACATCAGATGGATTTGCCAAAATGCAAAGCAAGCACTTCTCTCCCTGGAGATTGTTGGGTTTGAAAAAGACAATTATGTTCATGAAAAATAATGTCACCGAGGTGAGTGTGTAATGGGCCCGCTGTGTGAATGGTATATACATTGAAGTGTTTCTCAGCTTCAATTTCTCATGTGACAGATACTGGATGAGGTGAGCTGTGTAATACTCATGGAGGGAGGGTGCTGGCGGTCATACTTATGAACCAGCCCAGGCAGAAACGTGGTAGAATGCCAGGCTCGAGCAGAAAAGCCAAGCAAGAGTGTGAGGTCCTGAGTTCAAGCCCCAGTACTTGTGTGTGTGCGTGCTCATGTGCACACACACACACACACACACACACGACACCAGTATAATGGGGTTCTAAAACCAACACGTTGCTGAGCTTCTGATGGAATGGGATCACACACAGAGTCCTTGCAGGCTGGGTGTGACAGGAGGAGGGTATTTTTGGGAAAGGGTACTGTGGGAAGGGCAGGGGCCATCTTGGTTACCAGACCCCTGTGAGCCCTCAGGCTCCCTGTGTGGTAAGGTCTGACTCGGCTCTGGGATGAGCTGCTTATTCCCACCACCAGGCTCTTCTTCCCACCCTGGAGCTTTCCCATGAGTCCTGCTGCTGCTGAGCGAATACACTCAGAGCTCCCTGGGTGAGGGTTGCAAAACTAATAAAGTTATGCAGAGCCATAAAAAACATTTCCTTCCTGTGCGCAAAAGGTCTTCATCTCAGCTGGACCCTGCCGGCTCTCTCCCGCTGATGGGACTGACGGGTAGGTCTGAGGAGGAATTCCTCGATGCTGGCTTTATTGCAGAGCCAATCATTTGTCTTTGATTCATAAAACTGGAAAAAATGAACTCGTTATTGTTTAATGGGGAGATAAAAATCCTTCACGCCATGGAAAATGAAAAGGATATCCTTGATAACAAAAGGATGTATACATCTCACACACCCACATGCACACTTGTGCACACATGCACACACACCTCTAGTAGTTCACTTGGAGCAGCACCACACAGACAGGCAGGAAGCTTACCAGCTGAGGTTGTCCTGGGTGGTCATTCCCTGAGCTAGGACTCTGGAGGGGTGGGGGTAGAGAAGCAGGGGTGAAGTTCCATGCTCCATGCCCTGTTCACCAAGCCTGAGCCTCGCCTCAGCTTCTGGTGGAGACCGCGGAGGAAGGGGTGCCTGCTTCCCACGTGCCCAGCGGTGGCTGGTGGAACCCAGGATTCAGGACACAATATTCCTTTCCAGTGGGGGCTGGGAGGTAATTGGTGAACCATATTGGCTGACTTACAGATGAAGTCAAGTCAAATCACTTCATGACTCTCAGAATCTTCATCGAATTTTTGTTTAGAAAAGGAAGAGGCTTGACAAAATTATCTGCAACACCCATTTTATCTTGGACCTTAATATTTTTAATAAATTATTTTGAAATCTTGGATCTTATTTTTTTTTTATTAAATGACCCCAATACTAAGTACATTTACTTTTTTTTTTTTTTTTTTGCCAGTCCTGGGCTTGAACTCAGGGCCTGGGCATTGTCCATGAACTTCTTTTATGCTTGAGCCACAGTACCACTTCCAGCTTTTTCTGTGTATATGGTCCTGAGGCATCGAACCCAGGGCTTCATGAATATGAGGCAAGCACTCTGCCACTGAACCACATTCCCAGCCCAGTACATTTACTTTTTTGGGACTTTTTAGTGTTAAGATTATTCATTCCATAGATATTTGACTCATTTTTTAAAAAGTGTACCAACTCAAAGTTTTGGCTGTAGAGATTGGAAATAAGCGGCATGTTTCTTCCCTTCAGAGCATATATATATGCCCATAGAATAATATGGGATAAGATAGTAGTCCAGTAATCACACGGAGCCATCGGGGCTCTGAAATGGAAGTTCAGGATGGGGACTTTGGAGCCTGCAGAAATTCCCCCCCCCCAAATATGTTAGCAGGGGTAAAGGATGGTAGAGGTCAGTTCTGGGAAGGGCAGGAGGCTGGAGTGAGGATCAGAGCTGCAGGTGAGACCCTCTCACACATGAGGAATAGGAGCGGAGCCACACCGCAGAGCCCGGGTAGAACTGGCGGTGCGGTGCCTTCTAGCTCCTTCCCAGCCTCCATCTGTGCTTTCTGAAATCCATTCCCTTGCCGGTACATCTGCCCAGCCTCTCACTGGCTCTCATGCTGTGGTTTGTCTCCCTCAATGCAAGCCCCAGCCATGGGCCTTCTATCTGTGTGGACTGTGCTGTGGGTCTTGGTGTGCCACAGGCTGGCTCCCCACAGCTGCCCACCCTGCTGCCAGATCTCTTGTAGCCTCTCCTGGCAGAAACAGAAGGCATGGAGTGCTGAGCTTTTCCACTATAACTTATACATTCAATTAAGATATTGCTAATACCAAGCTCCCATTTGCACAATAAAGCCCTGATTTCTGCACCCCAGTTGCTAAGAAGACACAGTATTCTCTAGAGCTTGCCAAAAGGAACAGCTTCCTTCTTTCCTTCCCTCCCTGTCTTCCTGACAGGGAGCGCTCTTTGGTGGAATGCCAGTAGTTAAAATGTGAAGTTCCACTGGCCAGGCATACTAGTAGGTGTCTGTAATCCCAGCACTCAGGAAGTGGAGGCAGGAGGATTGAAAGTGTGAGGCCAGCTTGGGCTACATTGCAAGCTGCTGTCTGAAAAACAACATGAAAGTAAAGACTTCCAACCATCTTCCAATGTCGAAAATTCATCTAGTTACTGGAGAGACAGCACAGGTAGCTGCCTTGATCCTGTGTCCAGCAAAAGAATTCAGACAAGACACGAAAGTTTCTTAGGATAGGAGAATGTCAGGTGTGGGCACTCAGCCCCAAGTGCTACAGGAAGAGACGCTATGCAGGGTAGAGAGAGAAGGGGGTTTTAAGAGGCCTAGGGTCAAAGGAAGATATCAGTTTAATGTATCTCTAGCCAGCTTAGGGAACGTTCAGGAGCTGGTTGTAGATAGTGGAGGAATTGGGTGGGGGACAAAAGGTCTGTAACTGAGTCTCAGCTGCAGGTGCGGCCTGGCTGGTCTTTATCTCAGTTCTGGTTGTAAAGCCTCATCGCCTAAGGGGAGCGAGCTAATTCCCCAGGGATGATTCGATCTCCTGGGGTGGGGGCGGGGAGGGGATCTTCCCTAAGGGACGTGGCCTGGCTGTGAGACTCTGCTGCTCCTTCGAGGGAGTTTCTGCCTGAGCGTACTGTCCGTAACCCTTAGTCCTTTCTTTCCTGGCCCTGGGTGATTGATTTCAGAGTGACCCCTGGAGGGAATGATTTGGAGCAGAGACAAATAGAGGCTGGGATGCTAATTAGCGTTTTTCCTGCTTTAGTTAAGTCGTGAATACCAGAAAAGTCAGCGCCTTTCAGAAAAAAAAAAGGTTGACGTACTTGTTTGGAGAACGCTCTCCATAGATGGAAAGCGAGTCACCTCTAGCCGGAGAACGCCAGCATTCGCCTTTGGCGTCTGAGGATTTACTGAGATCACCTGGGAGAATTTCCTGTCCCTGGATTCAGCTGACCAGGCTGAGGTCACCTGAGTCAGAAGCTGTGCCGTGTGTGTGTGTGTGTGTGTGTGTGTGTGTGTGTGTGTGTGTGTGCGTGCGCGTGTGCGCGTGTGTGTGTGCGTGTGCATGAACTCAGGACATCAAGGCTGGTACTTTACCAGTTGAGCCACAGCTACACTTCTGGGTTTTTCGTGGTTACGTGGACTTTCCTGCCTAAGTTAGCTTCAAAGTGTGATCCGCAGATCTCAGCCTCGTGGGTAGCTAGAATTACCTCGTTCAGTGCACAGTCAGCACAGGCCTGGCTGGATTAAACTAAAAACAATAGCAAACCCCTTCATAAGCCAAACCAAACAG